AGACGCTTCGAGGACCATGTCGCCGACGGCCGCAAGTGGGCCACCGCTGCCCGCGCGCCCATGCCCATCAACGGCGCGGCCGTCGCCGCCGCCGCCGCCGCCACTGCGTCAAGGAGCCCCCCGACCGACGTGCTGCTGGCCCACATGTCGGAGTCGAGCCTGCCGCTGGCGGCGCCCGGCACGGCCCTGTCGGCGGCGCGCGAGTCGATCGACAGCGGATACCGCAGCGGACCGGGCCACCAGCACCACCGGCAGAGGAGTCGGGATGTCGGTGCGGCGGCCGCGGAGAAAGGGACTGGGACTGGGACTGGGACTGGGGCGGGCTGCGGGGGAGGTGGTCGGTTGTTGCAAAAGACGCCGCCGCATCCCCGCCAGCTTCCAGGTCAGGACGGGATGCAAGGCCCTGGTGCCGCGCCAGCGCCGGCGTCGGATTCGTGGCCGCTGGGCGTGCAGGGCTTGCCGCCTTGCGCGTTGCCTGTCTCGTTGATGTCGCCGGGGCTGCAGTCGGAGTTTGATGTGAGCGTGGGCAAGCCGGGGAAGGTGTCTCTGCTGCAGCGGATCGGGCTGCGGAAGAAGTTTGGCGGCCGGCTTTGGGACCGGGGTGGGCAGAGAGATGTTGGAGTGGAAGGGTAGGCGTCGGGGTTTCTTTTCTTGTTTCGGGTGTTTGGGCGAGTCGATGGTTATACCCTGTACGAGTGTTTTGTGGCCGTCACACCGAGGAGGAGGCAAGGCTGGCTTGGCTTGCGTGGAAGATGAGGCTTGATAGACTGGGGGATGCTGTATCGTATTACATGACCAAATGACTGATGATGAATGATACTTCTGTAATCTTTGTATTCTCTTGATCTTGATGGCTCCATAGTTTGACCTTCACGCACACAAATAACAGAGTCAAAACATACAGCACCTGGGATTCCCCAGTGGTCACCCACCTGAGTACTGATCTAACGGTCGTAAGTTTATGTTCTGGAGGAGGAGGGGTCAAGAAACAGGGGGTCTTGGGATCCCAAAACGTGCGCCTCTCCAACTTACCCCACATTTGTGTCGCCCATGACAACCCAACCCAAACCTCACATTCCTTCATTCACACTTCAACCACGACCTAGACAGCAAAGTAGAACAGCGCGACGGTAACAACCATCTCTTCAGCCCACATGCACTCGCATCCTGCACTGAACGCGACCGTCGAGGCCTGGATCGACCATATCATCAAGGCCGGCGGCCAGACCGTCATCATGCCTGACGGACCCGATTCGTTGCCGACCGTAGAGCTAGGTGTCACGCCGCGGCAGCCAAACAAGCGACAGCGCCAGGCCAGCACGGACTTCCGCAACGATGATCTGGAGACGACGCCGCGTCCTCCACTGTTCTGTACGTTATCAACCTCCTACATGCCGGTTTCCTTCATGCCTTGCCGCGCTAGCACTGACGATCATCCGCATCCAGGTCGAGATCAGACCCTGAGCGAAGTCCAATCCACCAGCACCGCCGACACCAATGGCACATCGCGATCGGGAAGAAGCAGCCCTCGCAAGAAAGAGGTCGCACTTCGCCGCACCCTCGACTGGCCTATCGCCCGCGTCAACATTACCGAACTTAAGTCGGTCCCTGCCATGTTGGAAAGCCTGGCTCTCGATCTGAAGAAGATCGCTGATGGCAGGCAATCTCTGATCCCCGACATTTTTCGGGTGAGATACAGGCATTTTTACTCCTCACTCTCACCCGCTGTGACTTGGGCTGACGTCTTGCCCTAACTATAGGAATCCATGAGCGCCGACGCGGGCATTTTCGACCAGCCGCACCCCGACTGGTTCTACACTGCGAGAGACGGACAAGAAGAGCTGAGGGCAGTACATCGTCAGATGCGGAGGATCTGCCGGAACAGTCTGAAGTGCAAGGATAGGATGGAATACGAGGCCGCGTGGAACGATCTGGTACATTGCCGTGTCCTGGAGGAAGCTCTCGAGGGCCAAGATGCCATCGACTTTCGCAACATCACGCTCTGCCGCACGCTCAAGGCGTTTCACGACGACGACCCTGCGCTAAGGGAGAACAAGGTGGACTACGGCATCTTCCTCCAGCCTGCACGAGGAGGCGACGGGCTCTCCGAGCGCCTCTCGGACCTCGCAAGCGAGGGTATCGACCTCACCCACCTGACCCTCAGCGACTTCGCCCCGACCCCGCTGGCTATCAGCATCGAGACTAAAACTCTTCAGGCCAAGCCGATCGAGGGTTCGGTGCAACTCGCCAACTGGGTGCGCGCCCACTTCCGACAGCTTGCCAGGGTCGTCGAGCGCCGTAGCCACGGCCCGGGCTACCAACTACCTATCCTCCCCATCATTTATGTCTACGGCAATATGTGGCGAGTGGACTTTGCGCATCGCTGGGATAGAAAGACCATGATATATGAGGGGATGGGTATCGGCGACACGCACACCATGTACGGATGTTACCAGGTCTGTGCGGCCATTCGGCGGCTTGCCGTTTGGGTCCAGGAAGACTTCCGGAGATGGTGGTTAAGAACTGCAGAGCTGCCTACGTCGCCCAATGCTCTATTGTCGGCGCCGTCTGCCCCAGGGTGACTATGTCACCGTTACGAGAGGCGCTCGTGATGCAGAGTTGCAGATAGATGGGAGTATAAGCTTCGGGCGCAGCACTGCGTATACATTGAACGTGGGCCCTGGGAATGAGCAGGCATTGTAGGAGATGCTCCCCTATACACATGTATCCAGTAGCATGTCTCTCCCTCTTGGCCAATTCGACTTCAGAGCATGTGAAACTCGGCCCGTGTAAACGACGACAGTGCCCGAAACAAACCTCAATGAGTCTTGATAGTCTGGGTGGAGGTAGAGTGGCTCTTCGTCATTGTCGGTAACCCAAGACCTTATGGCGAAGATGTGATGCGAACATCGGCAGTTCGAGTAAGGCAACCAACCCTATGGTTCCACGATCTGTAACATGTTTACTAAATACAAGAGAAAACGGAGAGAAACCGTAGAACGGCATCTCTCAGAAGCAGGTACCGCCCGGCCCCCGTGGCCGCATCCCATACCCGGACTGTCTTGTCGTGAGAGTCTGAAACGATGAGCCAGCCGTCGAGCGAGAAGGCTACGGCCCTGACCGAGCTCGAATGGCCTGTAACGGGCGGGGATCTTCGGAATCTGCTTGTATTGACGACCGTCATTGTCTCTCTTTTTCAACTGGCGGAATACTCGAACTTTTTGCGGTGTTGGCCTGGCATTTGCTCCTTTTATAGGGCGTGAACCTCTCCTCGATCATCCCAGATGATCACGTCTTGCATTATTCCGCTTCGTCGCGCCCCATACCAAATCTGCACCTTTGTCTCCCGGCTGAATATATCTTGTGTTGCTGCAACTGCGTCATACCTGGAACATGGATATTCCGTTGCTTGTCGCGGCCGATGACCGGCGGCGGCTAATCTTGGAGAAGTGGCAAGTGGTATCGATCAGAATCACAGGGGCGAAAAGTAAATAATATAAAGCAGATATGGCTCCTAGGCCCTTCACTTAAGCAGAATGCTCTTCCTATTTCTTGTGACCCAATCTTTGCCGACGAAGAGAAAACCACCGGCAGGTTAGTGGTCTCCAGAACAGCTTGAAGCGTCGGAATTTACGGTCATGCTCAGCAGCCCTCTATCTGTCTCGAGACGTTGACCATTCCTGGAGAGCATTAGACGAGTAAAAGTACTACGCCCCTCGAGCGTCTGCCGGTGCGCGCCCCAGTGGTCTCTAATGCCAGCGGTCATTTCGATAAATGACAGCCTGTCCTTCCAATACCGGTTTCTAATCTCGCTTAAAGTTGGGCTGAATACGAGCGCGGAGCTATATGTCTGCTTAGGGTTAATCGATCTGTGACTGAATATAAACTTCTCTACGTCTTTTAACAACTTAAGAAGACGAGGGTTAATTAATGTCCGGTTATACCTAGTGGGATTTAGTAGCCTAATGATAATACGGCATTATCAAGATACCTAAGTAGTATATAGAATCTTTCTTATCGAGAGTAGCCTACTAGAAAGTTTCCCTATAAGAGACAAACTCTCAAGCTAGCGGAGGAAGCATTCCTTCAGAAATCCAAACACCTTCCTGTTGTCATATTCTCCGGTTTGAAGCCAAGGTCGAGGTTATATGTACATGTTACGTCTTAGCATTGAGGACATCGCATCAGTCAGTCGAGCGTCTGACAATCTCGCTATGCCCTTAAGTGGGTGGGCCCAGCTGGCTGAAGTCGAAACTTGTAATTCTTCTGCAGGTAATCCTTTGCCGACTAGTAGATCAAGTTGACTGTTCCCTTGACGATTGCGAGAAATGAGCCGCACATCTCGATAGCCGTCTCTGCAATGTCCAATGGCAGGCCGGAAAGCTCTGAGATAGACAGCGGGCTGAAGGCAAGAGACGTAACTACTAACTAAGACTGTCTTACAGTCCTCGGGTTCAATCACTTTCCCCTCCTCAAACCTGGTCATATATGATCGTACAACTCCGACAAGCCAGGAGGCATCTCTCAAATACGCTTGACAGCGTACCCTCTATGCACTGTCTCGAGGACTTTGAACGCGAGGGCCACCCACAGAAAGGTGTTCTCTGCTCGTTCGCGTTCGCGGGCTACGTGTGACACCTCGGCTAAAACGCTGTCGCTGTATCCTTTTCTGCGATAAAGGATTGTGAGCTTGTGGTGCGTCCGTAACGCCTTGCAGATCGCCGTCCCAATCATCCAAATTCAGCATCCCTCGAAGGAAGACGAGACCTTGGCTGCGATAGTAAGAGCAAACACTCTTTATCTAGTATAGGAGAAGAACCTTGTAGAGCTCGACGACTTGTCCCCTGTAGCTGGTGCAAGACTGCCTGCAGGTCGCTGTTGCTAGCAATGTTGTTCTTGTTCAGGAGATGTTCGGAGAGGGCGCAGTAGTACCAGTCCATTCTAGAGATAACATACATAGGCGATGATACCAGCAAAGTCGACAAAAATGTCAAAAGATGTGGGCGACCCCGGAATCGAACCGGGGTTTCTTCGGAACGTTGTGCAGCCACAACGAAGCGTCCTGACCACTAGACTAGTCACCCTTGTGTTGTTGTTGTGGCAGACCTCTTTGCAGACATATTCACACCCCAGACCCTCATCTCAACCACGCAACCACACTTCCACCCCGTTCTATGTCACTTTTGTACCCGCCATGCTAGTTGGTCGTGCCGGTCGGTGAAGAAAACCTCGGGCGCCGGGAGACAGCCTCAAGTGCCCCTCGAACAGTGAGTGAGTCTGACTGGGTAGGAAAGGACAAGTATGTACAAGTCCCAAACCTTTAGGGAGTGTTTGACACACTCCCCCTCCACGGTTCAGGCACCTGCGGCAAAGTACGAGAAGAATCAGGTCAGTACACTGCTATACTATAGGAACTTCGCCCTACCCTGTATAAGACTTTGGCACGTGTCTCTCTCTGAAACCAACTCAACAGATGCGATAAGCGGCTGCGTTACATAGGACACAATACTCTGACCCAACTGTGCCCGAAGCAAGGTAACCAAGACATCACACTCGCACAGACAACATCTATAAGACGACGACGCCCAACTCCATACAAGCAAGTCTATCATAGCGCAGGGGAGATACTCTTAAACACATCAAACTGCAGCGCTCCCGAAATGACCTCATTTTCGCATTAGAAACCCTCTCCCCCCCGAAACCCCGACCCGCGTTTGTGAGACCCAACAATCCCCAACAATCCCACGCCCATTCATTCCTCCTTTTTATCCTCCCCGACGATCCCCGCAACCGCCTCCTGCGTTCCCTCAATCGCCTTACTCGCCGCGCCCGCGACGCCCTTGGCAGCAGTCCTGAGCGCGAGCTTCGTCGAGCTCTCCGCCTTGTCCTCATCAGCATTACTGATGCGGGTCAGTTCGGAAACAAAGCTCTGGCCCCACCAGGCGCTCGTGTACTTGAACACATAGCGCTCGAGCTTCCTGAAGTTCGCCTCGCGCTGCTCCGGAGACATGGTGACGGCGTCGTGGATCGCGTTCGCCAGCTCCTCGGTGTTCCAGGGATTGACAATCAGGCTGCCGTTGAGGCTCTGCGCGGCGCCGGTGAACTCGGACAGGATCATGACGCCGTGGTGCTCGCGCTGCGTGGCGATGTACTCGTACGAGACGAGGTTCATGCCGTCGCGTGTCGAGCTGACGAGGCAGATGTCGCTGACGGCGTAGAGGGCCGTGAGCTCGTCGAACGAGACCGACTGGTGCAGGAAGTGGATGGGCATGAACTCGATGGTGCCGAACCTGCCGTTGATGCGGCCCACGAGCTCGTTGACCACGGCGCGCAGATTCTGGTACTCCTCGACGTCTTGCCGGCTGGGCACGGCGACCTGGACGAGCACGATCTTGCCAATCCATTCGGGGTGCTCGGTGAGGAAGACCTCGAGGGCGTGCAGCTTTTGGGGGACGCCCTTGATGTAGTCGAGGCGATCGACGCCGACAATCAACTTGACGCCCTCGAATTTGCGCTTGAGGGTGGCGATGCGGTTTTGCACGCTCGGCTTCTTCAGCCCCTCAACGAACTTCTCGGGGTCGATGCCGATCGGAAAAGCGCCGACTGTGACGAACCTGCCGTTCCACTCGACGCCGTTCGGTGTTGTCGGGGTTGAACTACAGCCGTCAGTTGCAGGCGCAGGTAGGCAGAGAAGGGTGAACCTACAGTATCCTCGAGCAACTGCTCAAGAAGTGTCTTGCGTAGTCGTATGTGTGGAAGCCGATCAGATCGCAGTCGAGGACACCCAGCAACAACTGTTCCCTGACGGGCAGAATGCGGTAGATCTCGCTGCTGGGGAAAGGAGTATGGAGGAAGAAGCCGATCTTGACATTCTTCTTGGAGTTGCCGATCTCCTCCCGTAGCATCTGGGGAAGCAGCATCAAGTGGTAGTCGTGCACCCAGACCAGATCACCGTCTTGCACGTCGTTGGCGACCTCCTTGGCAAACAGTCGATTTACCTCGCGGTAGGCAGTCCAGGCGGATTCGTCGAAGGTGATCTCGCCAGGGTGGTAGTGGAATAGCGGCCACAGAATCGAGTCTGGCAGGGGCGGTTGGTTAGTGGTCGGACAGAGAGAGGGGTTTCAGAGAAGCAGGGACGGGGCGGACGCACTGGCAAAGCCATTGTAGTGGCGATCGGCCAGCTCATCGTCGATGAACACAGGGATCGCGTTGTGCTTCTCTTTCAACTGCTGCCTCATTGGTTCGGCCTCGGCGTCGGGGACTTCGAGACCGGGCCATCCGTACCACTGGAAGCTTGTCGTCTTGGACAACCCGCTGAGGCCAGTGACGAGACCACCCGATGACATGGAAAAAGAGTATTGGCCATCGTCGGAACGTTTTATTGTGATGGGAAGCCGGTTGGAGATGAGAAGTAGCCTGCCAGAACCGGCGGCTGAGTCGTCACCGAGAATGGGCATCGTGGTAAAGACGGGCAGATGCGGCAGCGCCTCTGAGTGTTCTGCAGTGCGATGTTCTGGTCGGTGCTGGATTCGCAAAATGGCGCGGCTGTCTTGTATGGGTTACCGAAGCTCGGGCTGAAGCGTCAGAGCTAGCCGTGATGTTGCGAATTCCGGCGACGATGTTTTCTCGGTGTTTTGGTTGAAAGAGAACCAACCGCCGCAATGGTGACGTTGTGACCGGGAGCTGCAACAACCAAGCTTGGAAAAGCGTTGAAGCGGGGCAGCGGGGAGCGGGGTAAAAGCTGACGGCCAAAGTGTGCAGGAAGTCTCAGCCAAGGCCGCCAGGTCCGGCCGGCGGTGGAAAAAGTGATCTCACTGAGGAAGGTAGATTCTGGTGATGTTGGGCAATGTAAGCAGAATGGAGGGGTGATTGGCAGATAGACATCAGGTTATATTTAGTGTAGCTGCTATGATGTCGTTGCTCAACGATGTAATTTTGGATCGGAACAGGGATGGCGGGAGCGGGACGCTGGTATCCGTACCCCTGTAGCGGCCGTAGGCGCTCAAACGCTTATGTACATGTACATACGATAAATTATCGGCCAGGCTCCACCAGTTGCTGACCGTGTCAGTGTTTCGGACTCCAGAGCGCTCGCTTGCTTCTCTAACTCTTGGACGGACCGTCACCGTTAAACTTCGTTAAACTTCGGTCATTCTTCCACGCTCTTCCACCAAACCATACTAACCCCGTACGTCTGGAAACCGTTGGTTCATGAAAAGCTACCGTTTTGGGAAAGAACGCCGAGAAATGAACTGTCTACTTGATTATTTCTGCTGTGACTCACTCTAGCCGGATGGAGACTCCCGCCGGGGCAATCGTACACCAATCAACTAGGCACAACCCTCCCCGACTCGATCTCCCTTCTTCCCGAAGGCCGAAATGCCACCAGCCCTGCAGCAGTTGGGTTTTCACGACTTCGAGCACAACTCCGTTTCCATCCAGACTAGGCGGCTTGGCAACGACCTTGCTCGCTGCAATTGATCTCCTCAGATTCTCCATGGAAAGGCCCAGCCTCCCGGTGCCAAGGCCACATAGTATCTGCGCCTTTGAGTTCTTTCCTCTCTTGCCCCAGCACTGCCACCCCCATACAACTCAATACTTACATTCTATTAATACTCTGGATCCGTCCCGAGGACCGCATCAGACCCCAAAGTCTCCAACCACATTATCGAACAAAAGCATATGATCCGACACAACCACTGTACCACACCCGTGACCCCCCGCCTCAGCCAACGCTCGTGCCCTTGGCCAGCTGATAAGTCTGATGATTGCCATCATTTTCCTCGTGCTGATTGTAGAACTCGACATCCGGAATGCGTCCCTCGTGCTTGAGACAGGGAGCAGACCGGCCGCCGTGGTTGTTGGGTGGACAGTATGTCGGGTCATTCCGCAGCCTCCACAGAAGCGACTCGTGAAGTACCGCGTCGGCGGGGATGTCGCGTGTGTTGCCTCCGTTGAGCGGGAACCGGACATTCTTCCAGACATCCCCCTCCAACTCCCATCTGGTGATGGCAGGCAGGAACTCTGGTTCTGTTAGCACCATCGTCGCCAAACCCGCGCGCCGCTGCCAGCCCTTTTGCCCGAGTCGACTTACCCATAAACTTCCACAGCAGGACCTTGAAAAACCCGGTCCCATACCCGAAGCTCAAGGAATCGTGGATGAGCCCCTTCAGCGCCTGGTCCTTCTTGCGCTGGGAGCGCTTCTTGAACCGCTCCATCAGCTCCGGCCGCCACTTGACCGCCGCCGCGGGCTCCCGCTCGCCCACCAGCTCCAGCTCGCGCACCATCCAGGCCAGGGGGATGTCGCTCATCTGGAGCGGGCCCGAGTCGATGTACTTGCTCGCGCCGGACCGGTTCTTGCGGGTCGTCCACACGTTGGTCACGCGCTGCCACAGCGTCATGTGCGCGGCGCGCGTGTCGAGCGGGTGGTTGGCCTGCGCCGGCCACCCGCCGCCGACGTCGCCGTGGCACCCCGGGAACCAGACCTCCTTGATGTCCTCCGACTCGTCCTCCTGCGTGGCGCGGATGTCCTGCGCCAGCAGCGCCGCCTTGAACTTGACGCGCCGCTCGTCGACGGCGACCGCGTGCCGGACGAAGTGTGCCGTGCCCCGTACGGCGACCGGGATGGGGGTCTTGCTCTCGAGGACGGCAACTGAGTTGACGCAGTCCCACATTCTGGATTGGGGGGGGGTGGGGTTGGGTTAATTGGGGAAGGCGGGCGAAAGGAAAGGGGGGGGGGGGGGGGGGGGGGGGGGGGGGGGGGGGGGGGGGGGGGGAACGTACCCCAGGAAATACACCTTGATATTATGCTCCTCGACCTTGCCGCGCCTGACAACCTCCTCCTTGCGACAGAACGTGTTGCTAAAGGCGGAGAGCTCGTCCAGACCAGCGTGGTGCTTTTCTTCCTGTGGCGTCCCAGAGGCCTGTTCGGCGCCGTTGGTCAAGGGGGCATCCATGCGCTCCGAGTCACCAAGGATGCCGCCGCCGTTGCTTTGCTCTCGGTTACGTCTCTTGCCCCTACCTTTGAATTCCTGGATCTCGCCCGCCAGATGGCGTTGATACAGCCGGTAGGCAAAGGGCACCA